CATATTTTAAAAGTGCCGAGGTCACGTGATCTGAGTAGAACCAACTTTACGCTATGCAGCTTTCCCAGTGTTCACAATCGAAAGAAGTTTTATAAGCACGTGCAGGGAACCTGCAATTCAATACGAGCATGCATCTTATTGAAGGAACCCCTGCGAATAACACTTCAGTGACATCAAGAGAAAGCCTATAGGAGGTGAAAAAAAATTATTAAGCAAATCATAAAAAGTTACGGCTGACTTTGTAAGAAAGCAGAGTTTTCCAAGCGTTGTTTAGACCTTTCTTACTGTGTGTAGAAAGAGTATGAGTTTCCCGCAGAGTCAGTGAAGTTTGACTTGTATTTCAACTTCTATACTTTTTAAGCCGTGACAGAACTTAAGACATAAATTCTTGTGCATGGACACTTTGCGATGCTGGAACCTTTGTCAGTCATATCACGGACATTATGACTTGGAACAGACAGATGTTATAAATGTCAGGGTGGTTATATTTATCATTGAATCACCCTTCCCACCCGAAACATAAAGTTTTTCTTTTATGAGAAAAACATTGATAGATCTACAAACACGAGTGATATGCATTGAAGCATTCACATTAGAATGTCATTTCGTCCATTCATACTGAGCAACATAGTGGGCATTGAGTAAAAACCACGGAATAGTAACTTGAATCGCAACCATACGCATGTACATACTGTGAGAACCGTGTATATCACCCATCAGGAAACTTCTTTAACAAAGCTACATCAAGTTCTGGGGAGTTAACTATTTTGTTCCTTTTTTCCCCTTCTTTCTAAGAGATCCCTTTAGTAAAGTCTTGAGAAGTATAATCCATAAACTATCGAACCGGTTAGGCTAGTAATTCCCAAATATTTTACACTGACGACAACCTAACCTACTTACCTTGATTTGCACAACAACCCTGCTATCACATGTAATATTGTTTTTGGTAGAGTTTTTTTTTTATATCCTTAATTATTCTTCGTTTGGTGAAACTCTAGCGACAACCTTAGCAACTTGCCGCGACACACAGTTTGGAAACCATTGGGTTAGGCAAAGTTTACCCACACCTTATACGTGCTTTCATAATTATGTTGTTCATTCGTTGAACGACTCAAAGTAGGATATGTGCTATAGGCATAATATGTACATATATATATGACAATATACCTCAAGAGTGTTTAACAATTTTCTTTATATATTTTCTTCTATTATACACACACACACACACACACACACACACACATATATATATATATATGTAAT